TTTTTTTTTTTTTCTTTTCTTTTTTACCAACCCATTGGGCTGAGAAGTTGTTGGGGCCCAAGGCTGGACATAAGACTTCAGTAGCCACAAACAGTAAATACAACTTATTGGTCAGTTTGGAGCAAAGAAAGGTGACACAAACAGTTTGTCAAAGAAAGGAAAATAAAGCAGACAGGGAGGTCCTTAGTCCACACTCTAGCTATTTACCACCCCTTCCCTGTAACACCCCACCCCCCACTCAGAAACTAAGACATGAAACAGTAAACACAAGACACTGGCATCCAAATGACTCTTCTGAATGTCTCTTGCTACCTCCTATAAAAATTCCACACTGAGAATAAGGGACAGATAGGTAGCAGGAACATGATACACTGTGGAGGTCAGCCCGAGCTAAAAAAAGGGGTGGTCCAGTAGGGCTAGAAATTAGGAAGGGAAAGGCCAAATGCATTCTAGCCCTAGCCTCCAAATCAGCGACCAGGGGGACTGTGACAAACGCAGGCAGAGGAAGCTTGAGGTAGAAAGGCAGAGGAAGAAAGCAAGTATGGAGTGAGAAGAGAATGAGGGAGCTCAAGCAACCAGTGTTAGGGCAGAGAGACTGGTGCTTGGAAGCTTGCTTGGCAAAGGAGAAAGGTGAAGTGAGGAGGCACAGGATGGGGGACTGTCTTCCTGGTGCGACAGACTGAGAAAAATTAAGAGAGATCTGGTAGAGAGAAGGGACACATTCATGCAGACCCTCAAACATGAGTACACAGACATACCTACATGTAGAAATATACACATATAAAGACAGATCCATGAATAGCAGGCATACACACAGACACAAACATGTTATACACATGTATCTATGTGTGTCCAGATACACCCTAAGCATGCATACACATATGAACATGAGTATACTTACACCAAGATATAGATTCACATATGTATGCAAATGTGTACCTCCTCACACAGACAGCCACAGTCCAGCACACATGCTTGTATTCATACATGTATACAGACACATGCAGAACTGATGCAGGTACACATATATGTGCACATACAGACAGGCATGCACAGATACATCTATGCACACGGACACATATTTAGCCACACAGATGTATGCACATATACATAATTAGAGATGAAACAAGATACTCTCTAAACATAAAGGTGATCAGAGTAGATGTGTATTATGAGCTCAATGGCTTCCCAGACACCAGACCCTCATCATCTCCTTGCACTTGCTTCTCAGGAGCTCAGCAGGCTCCTGAGAGGCTGTGTAAGGCAGGAGCAGGAACAGGAACTTCAGTGTCTTCATAGCTTCATGAGGCAAAAGTCTAGGTCCTGGCCTCTGCCCCTCACCCACATTAGGGCTACAGATGGCCCGTCTGTAGGCTGGGGTTGCTGCATAGACTAGACTTGGGAATTATTCCAATTGGCCATTCTTCTCTCTGCTACCCACTCTTCCACTGCCAACAGCATACACTCTATAAGGGAAACCTGAGAAATGGTTGTGAGTCTCCTCAGAAAACAAAAGACCTCCTTTCAAGCAGCCTATCCTCCCACCCACAGCTACTTCAAGTGCCCATCAAATTAGAACCAGAATTATAAATAGTTACAACTTTACAATGTCATTGGCAACACATATACTATAGTATTTACAGTACCATAAATGCTTCTGTTTCTCTGGTTAAGCAATCCCTGAGACGGAACAGTGTTCTGTGTTTAGCAAGGGAGAGAGGGCCAATGCCCAGGAAATGCAAGATACAGGGGTGCGAGGTGGCATGTTGTGGGGTTTCTAATCAATCTGCAGGGCCCAGCTCCTCCAGGGACAGTGGGCTATAGTGAGAACCTTGCCAAGGCAGGCAGACTGGCTAGATTTGGACTCTCCCCATCCTTAGCCCTGTGGTCCTTTGGTTTCAGCCACAGATGCTCAGAGTCCTCTCAGGGGCAAGAAATGTTTCAATGTCCTTGACCTGGTCTGAGGGAACCTGGGAGCCCAGCTTGCCATGATGGTGAGCTGTCTGCTTTCTCAGCCAAAGCGCTCTCGCACCAGCAACATCAGTTTCTTCTTGCCTTTGTAGATCTGTTTGAGGTTGTCAATGAACTGGGCAAACTGCAGGTGGCCATCCTGGGGCAGAAGGAAGGTCTCCCGAGCCTTGCTCAGAAACTCAATGAACTCTCCGTAGTGGCGAGGGCTGATGTGTGTCAGGCGTGAGTGTGTGGTGTTGATATAGGCATTGATGGTGGCATCCAGCAGCTGGCGCAGTGGAGCTTTGTCAGTAGACATGAGCTTTCCGGAGCTCCTGCGTCCCGGGATGCCGGCCAGGCCAGGTGCAGTCACCGTGCAGCGACGCAGGATGTCTGAAAGCACTGTGGCACAGTGCACGCTCTTCACCACCAGTGGGATGAGAGCTGCCAGCTCATTCTTGCCCAGAGAGTGGCTGAGGGCACATGCCCAGAGCACATCATTGATGGCCGGGTGGGTGTCCTGGTTATAGGCCAGGTTCAGATGGCTCATGGCCAGCGAGGCCAGCTTGAAGGCACGTAGCGGGTAGCCACGGAGCTCCATGTAGCGGGCGATGGTGAACAGCTGTGAATGGGTCATGCCACCAGCAGCAGCATCAATGGCGATCTGGTAGGCTGCCTCAAAGGCGATGTGGTCTTTCTCACAGAGTGTAAGGGCTGACAGGGCACAGCTCTGTGGATCTTTCATAGCACACTGCAGGGCCAGCGTGCGAGCACAGCTGGCCAGCTCCTCCCGCTGTGGATAGTCGAGACTGAGGCGCAGGATAGTGGTGTGAGACACGGCTGTGGCAGCCACAATACTAGTAGCCTCGGTAGGAGTGAAGAGTGTGTACCAGCTCTGCAGGATGCTCACCAGGGCCCGCACACCTGTCAGGGAGAGCCTGAGCTCAGACGTGGCCATCCGGGTCCGGATCCAGGTCTGCCCAGATTACCATTTGGGTTCAGAACTTGACCTGCAGAGACGAGTTCTCCCTCCTCACCAGCAGCTTTGAGATGATCTGAGGCAAACCAGGGCAAGGGGAGCATCCCGGATGGCCAGACCCTGTTTGAGGTGTCTTCCCATCCCTTCCTTCCCCAGGTCAGAAGGCTGAAGGTCTCTGCAGGTGCTCTTAGCCCTCACAAGGATGGAGCAGCAAAACCTGCAGCTTGCCTGCCCTAAGGCAGGTGTCCCAGGTCTGCCTAGGGGTCCTAGCTGAAGTAGGGTAGATAGTCTTGTGTTGGGGCTTTAGGGTTTAGAAGGGCTCCTCAGCTTCCAAGCTATTTGGGGTTTCTCAGAAGCATGGACAGGGACTGGTACCAAACTACTAGGCCAACCACCTCCCAAGGGAGCACTGGAGTATTAGTGGCTCCAAATTCATTCTTTCAGATATGTCTCTGATCAGAGGGTCAAAGTGCTGCTGACATCAGGGTATGGTCCAAGCAGTGAGAGCAGAGCTTGGGCTGGCTGAACAGAGGCTGTCTTCTCCTACCAGCAGCCCCATCCTTTCCTTTCCTGGACATATGAAAACTCTAAGGATTCATTGTCCTGTCTAAAGAGTAGGGCCAAAAACTCCTTTCTCCTGGGGGTAAAGGGAGGTGGGAGACTCACCCACTTCTGTAGCACATGTCACCAACCACCGCACCATCTCTCGGCGCCTCCAGTTAAGGGTCGATAAGGTCATCCTCATCACCTAGGCACAAGAGAGGCATTTCCAGTGGGCTAACTGTTGTGACCTCCCCATGTCCCCCTGCAATACGTTTATCCAACAAATATTTATCAGTGCTTGAAACAGCCATTTTTACCTTAGTAAGTACAGACAAGTCTGTTGAACTTCAGCCCCACCCCTTCCACTATCAGATGGGAAGCTGAAGTGTAATGAGTAAAGTCCTTATTACCACTCTTTGCTTAACTTAGAGGAATAGGGGTGGGGGAAAGATGGGGATACCATGGAGCCTAAATCTACACTGCTCTGCTTCTGGTCTTAACTTCAAAATGGAGCCCAATTTATGGAGTTCTTACTTAGGGAACAGCCCAGAACTTGTGTTCTGGGAACACAGGATAAGACTTGTTTGTGCTCAGTTCCCCTGGGATCTCTTCTCAAATGTCACTTGGCCAGAAGGCTAGAGCGAGGATGGCCCACTCCTTCCCCATACCTGTAACCCCAGCTCTAGGGCCACGTTGAGCAGGGTGCTGTCGGTACTGCTGTCAGTGGGAGTAGCAATCTTGAATGCATCTTGAGCCAATTTGAAGATGAGGGAGGAAGAATGGATGTGCTTCTGTATTGCTTCCAGGATTGTTCGGAGCCTCAGAGTGTCCCCTGTAGGTGCAGACAGACGAAGCAGGCACAGGTCTGCTTTCAAGCTTCCTTGAACAGTCAGCTGACCCTAACAGGCACTGACAGAACCATCACTTCAGTGAATGCTACCATCCCTTCTTCCCTTCTGGGTGGTTAACTCTGTCTCCAATGAACCCACTGAAGAGTCCTTCGTTTCCCAGGTACCCACAAGAACACTTCTCTCCACTTTTTGATTTGCCTCTCTACACCTTCAGGGTTCTTAGGTCCAAGAAATAATTTTGTTTGAACACATGAATTTTGAGAGCTACTTATACAGGAGACAAGAAGCCACATTAATGCCAAAAAAGTATGTCAGTTCCATTGTTTGCCTCTCACTACAGCCTGCTGGAGCAAAAAGGAACTGGGCCAGCTCTTCTTGTTCAGTAGCCAAGGATTCTATGCAAAGTACCAACAGAGCCAAAGAGGACACTACAGGAAGGGCATGTGTTCCATATAAAGTGAAGGTTGCTGTCTGAAGGCATTATATTGTTGTTATGTGCAGTTGAATCGGACCCGACTCATGGTGACCCCTCCTTGAGTTTCCGAAGCAGTATTGCTACGGAAGTAGATTGCCCCATTTTCCTTCCAAGGTGTGGCTGATGGGTTTGAACTGCCAGCCTTCTGATTAGTAGTCAAGTGCCTTAGGCACTATGCTATATAAATATTGGGATACCTTATTAAGTATGTAAAATAAAGATAGAACAAAAAGGAGGGATTTGGTTTTGCTTTGTAACTGGCTGATAAAGTAAAGTAGTGGTAGGAGAATAGGCTTTAGGGTAAAATACATTGGGGGTTGGACCATTTACAACCATCAGCCATTTATTGCCCAGGTACTTCATCTAAAAAGTAAATAACCTCTAGGGTACTCTGAGAATTATAAACAATTTGTGTATAATAAATATTCTATGATTCTATTTTTATAAAAAGATAAATAGCTGTTTGATATATGTATGTATACATACATATGTGTATATGCGTATAATGTGTGTGTGTATATCTGTATCTACATCTATATATATATGAATAGAAAATCTCTAGGAATATTTATACCAATGTCTTAGTAGTAGCTGTCTTTGAGTGTAAGCGTTATGGAAGGGATTTCCTTTTTTCTTCTATCTTTTGCAGTCTTCTTATGTTTTGATTTTAAAAAGGTACAAAAGGTAAAATAATGAAAAGTCCTTCTTTCTCACCTCTGTTCCGTATTCCCTCAGTTCTAACACTATATGAACAAGTATTATCAGTTTCTTGTATTGCCTTCCAGGATATGCTATGCATAATAAGCAAATCTATGATCTATTTCCCATTCTTAAAAAAAAAAAATCAAATATAGTAGCCTCATATACACATGGATTTGCATTGTAATATTTTCCATATAGCAAGATATCTTAGAGAATATTTCACATCAGTAGATAAAGAGCTTATTCTTTTACCTGGCTGCATAGTGTTCCATTTATGGATACAAGTCCACAACTGTGTATTCAAAATCCTTGGGGCAAGATGTATTTTGGAATTCATAATTTTTCAAATTAAAGAAAGATGATTTGTACATGTATTATATATAATACTTTCAGTGGGTCTGGGAAAGATCCCATTATTAAACACATTACTATTTCTACAGTGAAATGTATGAATATTCATACCAGGTGGACTAAATAAAGACCAAAAATAGTATTTCAGTTTATTTACATAGTAGTAGACTGATACTGCCTTGGAAACCCAAGGAGGGATCACTATGAGTTGGGTCCGACTCGATGGCATATAACAACAACAGAACAGTAAACTGGTAAGTGAAATAGTGTGATATAGACAACTAACACTTGGTACTCTTTATTTCTAGGGACAACATTCAATAAAACTTCAAAGTAAGCTAAATATCTGTTAATATACATAAAATTAATATTTGTTACATCTGGTTGTTTGAGGATCTTCAACAAAAAGCTTCTTCAGTATCGCTATTTTGACACCAAGGATTAGAGTTGGACATTTAATGATGGGCCATGTATAAGATTCTCTCGTGATGAAGCAGTACTACAAGAGATGGCCTTTAAAAAGGACTGCTTCTCCACGGGAGGGAAGGACACAGGGAAGAGGTAACTCGGGGAAGTGGGAAGAGAGCTGTTACACTGTGTGGAATTGCAGTCAGTGTCATGAAGCAAAATGTATGAACTGCTGTAAGGAAAATGAATTTGCTCTGTAAACTTTCACCCAAATCACAATTAAAAAAAAAAAAAGGACTAGTTCTAATAAAGTCTATCACACACACACAAAAGGACTAGTTCTAGGGTCATGTGCTTCATTAATATGGGTTTTCATATAATTAATATCTTCTATTAAGTAAATGGCCAACATCTTTTTTCTCACTAGAAATGCACGTTATTCATGGCCAATTACTATACATTTTCTTCATATCTACGGAGAAATTTTCCATCTGTGTTATATGTCATCATCATTATCATACAAGTCTTATGTTTAAATGAGTTAAATATTAATGTAATTTTAGCAATTTTCATATCACTCAAGGAATGTACAATAGGTGCATCACTGACAATAATCAGAATTTTCTCCCATGCCAGCTTTCTCTGACTTAGTGCTTCTAAGATATTACTGGGAGCTCTGGTAGTATAGTGGCTAAGGCACTTGACTGCTAACCAGAAGGCTGGCGGTTCAAACCCACCAGCCATTCCTCGGAAGAAAGGTTGGGCAATCCTACTTCCATAGTGATACTGCCTCGGAAACCCAAGGAGGGGTCGCTATGAGTCAGGGCTGACTCGATGGCACATAACAACAACAACAACAAGATATTACTATGCATAAAAGTCTCTTTTCAATGTTCCCAAAAAATGTTACTCTTGGAAATGGCATCTAACCTACCACTCACTATGAATGGACTGACAAAATAATTACTTTGGTGAATGCAGCAAAAAGATCACGTTTGTCACTGGGTAGTTACATAGTATGCATATATTTTAACTGCCAAAAATTAGGTAGCTGTGTTCCACTTCTAAAAGCAAAAAAGCATATTCTTCAAGTTTACTTGTGTCAAATAAAAAGAAAATCGTACAAGTGAAAAATAAATCACTTGGAGAAATTGTTAAAACATAGGTTTTCCCTTTTGCATATACAGTACTGAGTTGTCAGTGAAAGCAAACATGGGTATATAGACAGATAGATAGGAGGACAGGCTAAACAATTAGGTATGTTTAAATGGGGAGTGTATCCAAGATCATATATAGGGTTGGCAGACAATGGTCCTATAAG